GAGAGAGAGAGAGAGAGAGAGAGAGAGAGAGAGAGAGAGAGAGAGAGGGGGGGGGAGAGTTTAAGAGATGAGAAATTTGGAGAGAGAGAGAGAGAGGGGGGAAGAGAGAGAGAGAAAGAGAGAAAGAGGGAGAGAGAGAGAGATTGTCTAAAGGAGTGCGGGAAAAAGTAGAGTGGGGAGACTCAGCAATGAATGAGGCAGGATGGAAATGAGAAGAGGTCAGAGAAAGAGTCCGATGCTCAAAACAACAAAGAGAGAGAGAGAGAGAGAGAGAGAGAGAGAGAGAGAGAGTAGGAGGAAGAGAGAGGAAAGGAAGGACCGATGGAAAGGGAAGGGGAGAGTGTAGAACGTGTCCTAGAGGGTGGCGAGAGAGTGTGAAGCTAATAATGTGTGTGTGTGTGTGTGTGTGTGTGTGTGTGTGTGTGTGTGTGAATGTGTGTGTGTGTGGAGAGAGAGAGAGAGAGAGAGAGAGAGAGAGAGAGAGAGAGAGAGAGTGGGTGTGTAGACTACGGCAACAGCCTAGTCGGGAGGACGCATCAGTTCGGAGAAAAGGCGATGTGCAAACTTGGAAACAAAAAACACGCACAGCTTCGTAAAACCCACACAACGAGTTCAACCAAAGAGCATGTCCAGTTCCCCTTCTCACACATGCCAAATACTCCTCACCATCTCCGCCACCATCTCCCAAAAGCTTCGACAAGGCAGAAGTCCTTCTACCGGTTTCTTCCGTCTGCACGGATTCATCAGGAAGGTACGCTCTTGGGAGCGTTTCTGTCGAAAGAGAGGCCGTACGCCTTGCCTCTCGAACGCTTTATGCTCCAACGCTGCGTTCATAGCTTCTTCGGAAAAAACCCTCAGTTCCCGTACATGTGCCTACTTCTAAGCAAAATCGCTGTCTGATTGGAATCCGGTCCCTCATATGGGCCGGGTACGAAGTAATGCCACGGGACCAAACAGACATTAAGGCGCGCTTATCCTACTATATTTCCAGTCTCATTCCGCTGTATTTGTCGTAAGCTTCCGCCCAGATTCCAAGATAGAGCAATAACAAACCGCCGTGTCTGATTCAGTACATTCCTTCCTCTCAGACATAAAGTCACACTAATGTCTTTGTCTACCACCAGTGGAGTTCCGGTGCATAGGCCGCGTAGAAAATCAAAAAATCAAAAAATAAAACCAAAAATAAAATAAAATAAATCCGGGTACATAGAAACTCCCGAAACCCAAGAAAACCAACACCGAAAAGCCACTAGGGACCCCGGTCACCAACCGTTGCGGTAAGTCCTGGAACAGGCCGCGGCAACGAGGACAACCGTCTTCAACCGTCACTTCCGCGGGACAGACAAAACCTTCCACCCTTCGAGGGTACGATGCGAAAAAACCCTTCCGCCCTTCGGGGGTACGATGCGAAAATCAAACGAAAAAGTAGACCAAGATAATAAAGAATCGCATCCCCGTAAGCTTGGCTTATTTCGCCAGGGCCCCGAGAGAGACCTCCGGGGGGTAACCCCGGAGGTAACTTTCCAGAATAGCGTAAGCCACGACACCCACGCTCAAAACCCCCGAAGTAGAGGAAAACCAAAGTCTCTTCAGTGTGGCCGACAAAGTTCCGGTTTTCAACTTCTTCTCGGAGTAACTGGAGAAGTCTTGTATGGTTTGGTATCTCAGTCCTCGGTCGGATCTCAGAGCGTCTGAACTTTTTGTGTCTTGCACGAAGTGCAACTGCACGGGATCAATGTCCACATACAGGGATCCCCCAAGGAATTCCCACGTATTGGTGTCGTCATCCTTCCGAGCCAGCTTCAGGTTCGCATCGTAAGCTTTTTCGAACTGATCAATGATAGAAAAGGCTCTCTTTCAAGAATCAGCATTGTCCCCACACCCCACTACTATCGAGACGTCATCCACCGTCCTCCACCCTTTGACCAACTTACGGTCTGATCCTAACGATTTCAGAAAACTGTCTTCGGCCATCGAACAGGTGACAGTAGCCAGCACAGGACTCCTGGTTTTTCCCATGGGTACGCCGACAGCTTGCCTCCTAATCAGATTACCGCACCGCATGTATGCATGCGCCAAATCGTATTCCACCATCCTAAAGATAGTGCACAACTTGACACTTACATAGCCCACCTCACTCTTAGCAGTCTTTGACAGCGTACACAATTTTCCCCTCAACGCTACTCTTACCTGTAACCATCCTTCGTTTTCAAAATACCGTATCAGTTGGAAAACGACATCTTTTATCGCCTCGTGCGGTATAGAGGTAAACATATCCTTCACATCGTAACATCTGCCAACAGCCTTAGTACAACCGATCGCGCTGAAATGTGCTCCCACACCAGAGAGTTCTTGACAAAGAGTGAATGAAGAATTGAGGTGAAAATGCCTATCCTGTCTCTACCTAGAAATCAAGCAGTAAAGGGCTCTTGCTGATCTCTTCGGACCTAGCATCGTCGGGTCGCTGCAGGCGGGCGCAATCGACCTCCATCTCTGTAGGTCCTTGTCTTTGGGAATAACGTACGTCTTTCCCAGCTTGCCATCGTTCCTCCACGCGCCCACGGATGACAGATTCGAGTTCATGTAGGCTTGCTTGCATTCGGCCAGCACCAGTTCCTCGTCCTTCTCAACCTTAAGGTAGTCTTGATTCCAGGTAAACATACATCCAAAAGCATGTCTATACAGAATCGGGCAGACAACGGCCGTATCACTGGGGTTACGGTCGACCGGAGTCAACACCAATCACTCGTACTGGGAGGCCCAAATCCTAACCTCGCGATCAGTCCAGGTATCGCTATTTGTCATCGAGTCGAAGAAACATCGGTCCACATCGGGATTGACTTCTCTCCCATGCTTGAGGTAAGCCGTTCCCGGCTGGATTCCTTTGACAAGTTCAGATTTCAGTAGTTTGTGTGATCCCACCACTACATTCCTCGAATTGCGAACAAAAGCTGGCACATCACGCATATCTGCAAAACGAGTCAGGACATGCCCTTCATGTCTATCTAATTCATACCCTTCGCAGGTACAAACTACCGGGTCAATGTGTGCGAAATCCCTTTGTAGGTGGAGAATATCAGCGACAGTCTTATTCTTAGTGTTAACAATCCGTAGTTTTCTCTTAACGAAAGTGGCAATCGCTGAGTCAGTCACATAGGATTCAATCACAGTCTCGGGTGCCCTCCTAACCTCAGTCTTCTTAATAGCACTGCAGTAGGGAAACTTAACCGTCGTCTTTCTCCTAATACTCACCCCAGTCTTCCTTCTAACGGCTCGGTCTATCTTTACCTTCAATCTATTCTGAGTCTCCTTTTTGCCAAACAGGCCGGCAGTCCTGTACAGACTCACCAGCCTACCTGAGGAGTAACGCACGAGCGAGGTCGCCATTCGGGGTTGTCTGAGCAGTCTCTGAAGCATTAACTTGTTTCTCTCGGTAGTAGTAGCAGTTTTTCAGATCTTCGCGAGCTTAACTGCTGCTCCGGATTGGAAAACCATCTTGCAGTCTCTCAACAACACCCTCTTTCCTTCGGAGAGCACAATCGAATCACCAAAACTCGCCACGATGTTTGACCATCCATCACTCCAGGAGCAACCCGCGTGGAACTCGATATCGATATCTCCTTCCTTGAGGATTGCCTTCTCTTCGAGCCAATTCAAGAACGAAGTGCGTCCGACTCCACCAGCTCTCAGCCTTACCACTGTCTGTCCGAGCGACCGGGAAGACCTCCCCTTCCTTTCTCGTCGTCCCCTCCGTCTTCTCGCCCTCTTGCTCGCCTTTCCCCCGGCTCCTACCATATTGAGGCTCGGTGACAAGTCTCTAATGAGATATTTTTCAAAGGCGGCATCATCTTCCTCCGTGGTATGTCGAATAGGAAGTACCACGAAGTTGCCAACTCCAAACCGTCTCATCCATCGGTACAACTGCGGAGCTTTTCCCAAAGCTTTCGAATTAGTCGCTGCCAGATGCTGCCTCCATCTATGCAGAATCGGCTGAGCTGTGTAGCCAACGTAAACCCGTTTGGACCAAGGGCTGACGATCACATAGGTTCCGCGAGTCTTCAGGTCAAGGGTAGCATCCGGTACGTCCATCTTGTCCAAGTACTTTCCCAGCCAACTTAGCTCGCCGCCTAGTCCTAACAGAACAGTGCACGTAGCGATTCGTCTCTCCACAGAAGCCACGGATTCGCCGTGGAGGCCCTGCCCCCAAAGGGTCTCTCTTTCGGCTAAACAAGCGCCCAGTGTCGTCCATAGCGGTAATTGTCAATCTGAATCTCGAGCGGACTCGTGGGCAGATTCCTCGGAGTTGGTCGGTCGGTGGCTTCTGGGTGTCTCGGTCATCTTCGTTTTACCGCGGGTAGTGATCATGGACTTTATCACTTCCTTAGGTGGTTTCTGGGTAGCGCGCTTCTCCTCTCCAATCCGCAGCGAGGTCGTCTTCTTCGTCAATGGGGTAGAAAAGAACCCATCGTACGCGACTTCGGTCTGCTTCCTAACGAGTTATCGCACCATCTCGTCTTTCTTGGCAGGCTTGATCCCCCGTTTCTCGCACATCTCCTTCAACTCGGATACCTTCTTCGCCGAAAGCTGCTTCATAACGGACAACGTGTAGTCCATCATGCCTTCCTGGGAGCTGCCCGCCGCTACCCCCTTAAACCCTTTCGTGAGGGGTGTCCTCGGCTCCGCTTCTTCCCCGGGTGTTGCCACCGGCGAAGAGGAACGCTTGGAGCATTCACCTTTCTCCCAAGTGCTCGACGGATTCTTCTTGCTGATATTTACTGCATGGGCCTTCAGTTTCTTGATTTTATTCTTCATCTTCGATTCTCGGAGTCTCTTGATCATCTTGAGCAATTCACGATCCGAGTCAGAAGAGCGATCGCTATCCGTCGCAGAATCATCGTCTGTTTCGGAAGAGGAAGTGACCACCGGTCGCTTGATCTCCTTCTTTCGTCTTCTAGCCTTTGAATCGTTTCTCTTCTCGTTACTTTTCTTGATACCCTTGCTCCTTCGAGAGATCTTCGGACAGTCGGGACTCTTGGGCCCTTTTTGTCCGACGGTGGCTTCGCTAGCAGCCTTAATCTTCTCAGCGGCCTCCTCTTGCTGTTTCCTCCATTTTTCGGCGATCTCAGCCTGTAGTTGCAACCTCATCTCCTCGGTCCTCGTGGCCAGGTCCAATTCTCGCTTCTTCTCTTTTTCCAACTTCAGCCGTTGTTTCTCTTCTTCTTCCTCACGTTTGTGTTTCTCCTCCCTCTCCTTCATCAGATCTCGAACGAACAAGTGTACTTCGTCATCCTGCTGAGACGGCCTGCCTCTCTTCGCCCAACATTCTCTCGCAATGTGGCAGTATTTCCCACACTTGTAACACTGCGGACCGTTCGATCTCCCTCCCCAGCCTCCTCCATTTCCGTTGTAGCCATTCCCTCCGTTATTCCCGTTATTTCCCCCACCGTTCCCGTTGTTATACATTTTCTCCGAAGATCAGAAAACCAGGAGAGTGTAAAATGGTTACCTACGTAGCGTACCGGCGCCAGATCTCAACAGAATCCACGAGCCAGGCGCCACCCAGTCTCCCCCTTGGTCGTACTAGCCTTGTCTCCCTGAGGACTCTAATCAGAACCGATCTTACCAATCTCGAAATAGTAGTTCGTATCCGGCACCCAGCCAGCTGTCGGATGGCGTCTAAAACCGATCGCAAAGCTCGCCTTACGTACGTATCAAGCACCGCAGTCAGGCGAGATCTAATCGCGTTCACAAAACGCACACTCCTTCTTAAGGTTAAGTTACATCTCCCACACGCTCTCGACATAATCACCAGTTCTAAAAAGTGTTCACGTCACTCCTTCGACAGTCGGTAAAAAACAATACTATCTAAACTGCTCTCTACGTCGCAGCCGAACCCTTCGTCAAAACTCCCGTCCAGCGAGTGCTACGAGCACGATGGGTGCACAAGCATAAGTACACTAGAAATGTTGACGTCACTCCATCGACAGTCGGTAAAAACCAGTGCTTTCTAAACCGCTCTCTACGTCACAACGGAACCCTCGTCTAAAACTCCCGTCCAATGAGTGCTACGAGCACGACTAGTGTACAAGCATAAGTACACTAAAAACACAGCCACCGTCAAGTATGAAAACTCTGGTTACTGTGCTCCCGAGAGTGGGTAGACTGCGGCAACAGCCTAGTCGGGAGGACACAGCAGTTCGGAGAAAAGGCGATGTGCAAACTTGGAAACAAAAAACACGCACAGCTTCGTAAAACCCACACAACGAGTTCAACCAAAGAGCATGTCTTGTTCCCCTTCTCACACATGCCAAATACTCCTCACCATCTCCACCACCATCTCCCAAAAGCTTCGACAACGTAGAAGTCCTTCTACCGGTTTCTTCCGCCTGCACGGATTCATCAGGAAGGTACGCTCTAGGGAGCGTTTCTGTCGAAAGAGAGGCCGTACGCCTTGCGTCTCGAACGCTATATGCTCCAAGAGTGAGAGGGACAGAGTAGGAGTGGGGCCAAGAGTGAGGGGAAAGGAAGGACCGATGGAAAGGGGAGAATGTAGAATGTGCCATAGGGGGGGGAGAGTTTAACAGATGAGAAATTTTGAGAGAGAGAGAGAGAGGGGGAAAGAGAGAGAGAAAGAGAGCAAGAGAGAGAGACAGGGAGAGAGAGAGAGAGAGAGAGAGAGAGAGAGAGAGAGAGAGAGAGAGAGAGAGAGAGAGAGAGAGAGAGAGAG